TGAAGGCCTGGGGTAGTTCTACTCTGTCTCATAGGGTCACTGTGAGTAGGAATTGACTCAATGGCAATGGGTATCAGTAAATGAGTAAGAAAACTGAACCCTGGAAACACTGCTTTTTATCAGCCTTTCCACTTTGTAGTTGATTTTGATGTTGTGTTTTAAACCTTAATTTTAGCATGGAGTTCAAATGAGGTATAGATAGTATTTAAAAAAAAAAAAAAATTAAACCTGTATACTTTCCTGCCCAGCTAATATTCTTTGCTTACTCTCCTCTGCTTTTTTCATACCTTTTTCTTCTCCAGAACTGCCTAAAGTTACAGAAGGTGCGTAACACCTTTTCTTCTTATTCTATTCTGTGTATCTTTATTACTTGCCATTGTTATGTACTGTTGGTTGCATATTTTATGAAATTGTGTACAGGGTCAAATTTATTACTACAAAATCCATAGTGTAATAAAAGTAATGGTAGTGTTCATTATTGGCTTCCAAAGTACTATTTCACTGGGGAGAAAATACTTCTGAAGCAGTTATTATGATGATCCTTAAAATACTTGTTTATTTTAAGGAGCAGTACAGAATGATTTGGGCAGTTCCTGCCCCCTAGTGGCTAATAAGCCATCCCATATGACAGTTTAACATTTCCACAGTGATCTAAAACGGACTTAGTGAAATTATAAGAACATCCATGATGCCTCTCTACAGAACTCTGTATGCTATAATCTTTAATTACCTGAAGCAAGAGTTTTAGTCCCTCCCTGTTTCTTTCTTGAAAGTTATCTAAATTGCCTAATTTACTGTCATTCTTAAGAGTGAGTCCTTTATGTTACTTTGAATTAGCTGGTTTTCATTCTAAGACATATAAACATGTGTCAGGTATTAAAGCCATGCTAAATTTAAATACTCATTTTTATACAAAATTATGATTGTTTAAAGGACTCAGATTTAAATCAAGTGAAATAGTAAGTTTATGAAAAGCTATAACTTAGAGTGCTAACATAATCTTTTAAACCAAAACCAAATGCACTGCCATCAAGTCAATTCTGACTCGTAGTGACCCCTATTGGGTTTCTGAGGCAATAAATCTTTGTGGAAGTAGATTGCCCATCTTCCTTCTGCAAAGCGGCTGATGGCTTTGAACCGCCAACTTTGTGGTTAGCAGTCAAATGCCTTAGGTGCTGTACCTCCAGAGCTCCTTAACATAATATTTTAGGGCTTAAAAATTATTTCTTTCATTTTAACTCTCCTAACCTTAAGTTGAAGGAGCTGTGGTGGCACAGTGCCTAAGGCATTTGACTGCTAACCACAAGGCTGGTAGTTCAAACCTATCAGCTGCTCCACGGAAGGGGCAGTCTACCTCCGTAAAAGATTTACTGCCTCAGAAACCCAATGGGGGTCATCGCTATGAGTCAAAATTGACTCATTGGCATGGGTTTGGTTTGGAACCTTAAGTTGAATGTTTAGCTTTTTACAAAATGCCCACATGCTAAGTGTAGTCTTTAAAAAATTGAACTAAAACATTTAGTGAGAAAGCATCTCAGATTTTACTTCCTGGTCTTTTGTTAAGAAACATGAAGACTCTTTAAATTTTTGTAATTTCAAACAACTGTGTTGTTGTTGTTGTTCTTACTATGGAGTTACTGAGAAAGCTTTTATTGATATCTTTAAAAATTTTTATCAGTGCATGTGAAATGCTTCTGAACAAAGTTACTCTTTTCAGTGCCAAAAATAACTTGTGAATTGTAGATTTTTTTTCAATAGAAAGTTATTTTAAAAATAATAATAATAAAGATGAATAAAAGAAGAAGAATGTTTCCTGAAAGGAAAGGAAAGCAAATTGTTTTTTGTGTCCTGAATACATAATCATGTTTTCTCAAAAGAGCAGCAAACACTTCAGGTAGGAAAGAAAAGCTAGGTCATTTCCACATGTTTCGTTTTTTAGCTTAACTGTGTGTTGGGAAATTATGACTAAAGCCTGTTTTAATACTCACAGATCAGGGAATTGCACTGCATGCTTTTTATTTAATTACTATGAATTTTTAATGCTTCATTTCATTAACATAATTTTTTTATAAAAGTAAAACATTTTTTTTCCATATGTTTTGGATCAGTTTCCTATTTTCAGCCTCTAAATGTGGCCTATGCTTATAGCTGATCTTACCTAGTTATAAGTACCATGATGTTATTAATCCTTCCTATTTTTGACTACTCTATTTTGAATTTGTACTTTTTCCCTCTTTAAGAATCTGTTCCAAGTGGAGAAAATCAGAGTGTGACAGGAGGTGATGAGGAAGCAGTTGATGAGTACCAAGAGTTAAATGCAAGAGAAGAGCAGGATATTGAAATAATGATGGAAGGCTGTGAATATGCAATCTCTAATGCTGAGGCCTTTGCAGAAAAGTTGTCCAGAGAGCTGCAGGTGCTAGATGGGGTAAGACTTTCCTGTGCTCTGTGAATGAGCAATGTGTAGTTGATTGAGAAGACTGGTGATGTTCATATTTTACTTCTTCAGCACTAAAGCCTTTATAGTGGAATTGGTGCTGTGTTTATCTATAAGCATATTGCCAGCTACCATCACTCTTTTTGCTGCTGTCTTCAAAAGACAGGACCATTCCTATTAGGCTAGAAGAGGCAGTTGGCTGAGGTTTTAGATCTGAGAGGTTCTTTTTATGAAGTGATCAAAATCAAAAGGGGCCAACCAGCAACCAACTTGTGGTTTGATTTCCTCTGGAATACATTAGAATAATTCAGTGCAAGAGAATAACATTTTCATGGTTTGAAGAAAAAAGTATAAATTACAAAGAGAAAAATTAGGCCAAAAGACTCATTTACCAAAAGGAGGCAAAAATAATTATGGGAGAAACACAGTTATTGTTTAGTTACCAGCTCATAGCAACCCCATGTGTTTCTCAAGGGTGCTCTATAAGGTTTTTAAGGCTGTGAGCTTTCAGAAGCAGATCACCAACCTTTAGGCTAGTAGTCAGGTTCTTAACTGCTTATGCCACACAGGCTGCTTAGAAACAGAAGAGTCAGAGCTAAAGGGTGCTTGATTTCACTGCTAAAATGTTTTGGAATAAAACCCAAACTAAACCCATTGCTATCATGTCAATTCTGACTCATAATGACCCTATAAGACAGAGTAGAACTGCTTCACTGGATTTCCAAGGCTTTAAATTTTTATGGGAGCAGATCACCAGGTCTTTTCTCCCTCAGAGTCATTTGTGGGTTCAAACCACCAACCTTTTGGTTAGTAGCTGAGTGTATAACCACTGTGCCACCAGGGGCTCCTTATGCTTTTAAATTGAGCTTTTTAATTTATATGCATTGTTTCTGAGACTATAAATGCCCGTCTTTAGAAAGTAAAGAGCTAAAACTAGTGCCATGTAGGTAAGACTTACCTAAAACAAGATCATTTGTTGTTTGGTTTTTAAAGATAAGCGTTTAAGAAAACTATTTTAAAGACTTGAAGTATTTTGGCAGTTAATATTTGAAAAGTCCAGAAGTCATGAGATCTAACTTAGGCCCAGAGAGATAACATAAAATTTCCAACCATACACGTTTACAAAACTCATTGGAAGCAAAGCCTAGGAGAAACTAATGTTGAAATTGAAACTGTCCTAGTAACATTCTTGCTTTGCCACTTAAGAGATATCAGTGGGCCTGAGCCCTGTGTATTTTTATAATTGGATTACATGTTCAGTTGCATTATTGTGAAAAGTATATAAAATAATACGTGAAATCACAGTGCAACTGTACAATGATAATCTTTTAATTCCTTATCCATGCTTTTTCATCATACCATGTTACTACCTTCTTAATGTGGCTTAGTGATTTATATTTTGTTTTCTAATTAGTATTGCATATATGTTCCAAGTCATCAAAGTGCTTTGCAATTTAATTTTGGGTTTGTCAGCTCCCATAATTCCAGAAATTCAGAATCAGTAGTCAGAATCATTTAGAAAACAGTGGTTATTGTTGTTGTTATGTGCCGGGATGGTGATTTGTTATTGCTTTGCTTAGGGAAAAAGAAAATGTAGTTACTATGAAAGAGGAAAGAAAGAAGTTGATAGAGCTTTCTTTTGACCTATATGCTGTTCCATATTCTATAATACAGATCATACTACAGTTATAACTTAATTCTGTGTATCCTTCTAAGATAATTATACCATTGCTACCCTCTTGGCTAAGCTATTACGTAGGTGATTGTGCTTTTATTAGTTTCTATAAATACTAAGATTACAGAAAATTTTTATAATTGGTAGAATTGCAGAAAATGCTCAAGGTATAAACTCTAATGCCTCTCAGTTTACAAAAATGGGAATGTACTATTACTGATGATATATTCTGGGGAAGAACCTTACTTCACTTGTCTCTGGAAATATCATAATATAATGGGGCATGGTCCTTAACCTTAATACAGGGGCAGAATGTATCCTCATGAAATACTGTGTAAAAAGTAGACCATAAAGTGATACATTAAAGTAGATGTGTATCAATCTGTTATCTTTCCTTTCAAGAAGATTTTGCAACATTCATCTTTACACTTATTTTATACATTTATTAAATATAATTTTTTATTTTAACTTTTAGGCCAACATCCAGTCAATCATGGCCTCTGAAAAGCAAGTGAACATCCTGATGAAGTTGCTGGATGAGGCTCTAAAGGAGGTGGATCAGATTGAAATGAAACTGAGCAGTTATGAGGAAATGCTCCAAAGTGTGAAAGAACAAATGGATCAGATCTCTGAAAGCAACCACCTAATTCATCTTAGTAATACCAATAATGTAAAACTCCTATCTGAAATAGAGTTCCTTGTGGTAAGTATGATTACAGGTACCAACAAAACATAACAAACAAAAAACCAGTGACAATATCTCAAGCCCATTTATAAACATTTTCTAATTTCCTATGAGTTCAGGATTTAAAATAATTCCAAGGACCTGAAGATCTGAATGAATAATATCTTACCTATAAATTTCACAAAGTTGCATGTGTAAATGATATATTTACATATGTTCTAGAACCACATGGACTTGGCCAAAGGTCATATAAAGGCCCTTCAGGAAGGAGATCTTTCTTCTTCCAGAGGCATTGAGGCCTGCACCAACGCCGCCGATGCCCTTCTGCAGTGCATGAATGTCGCTCTTCGACCAGGTATATTCATGAGTCATGATAAATTCTGACCAAGAATCTGGAAGCTAAAACTTTAACTTAGTATAAAGATCTTAACAAGAAATATATGGGCAAGTGGTTTAGTGTTATTAACTACCCAAACAAATTTCACTTATTTTCAGACATACTTCTGTTAGTGCTGGGAGTGTTTTGTTTTGTTTTTTTAATTTCATTTCCTTCTGATTGAGTTTCATTGATTCTGATTAACACCATGAGTTTTCTGTTCTTGCTGTCCAAAGGACCTAGCACAAAGTAGATAGTAACTCTGGTTTTGCTAGACCAAGAAAAAAATACTTATGCTCTCTAATCACTTCTGATTCATGATAACCCCATGTGTTACAGAGTAGAACTACTCCATAGGATTTTCTTGGCTCTAATCTTTACAGAAGTAGATTGCAGGGCTTTCTCCTAGAGTAGGTGGGTGGATTCAAAATGCCAGCCTTTAGGCTAGCCGATCGCAAACCACTTACACTACCCAGTGACCTCTTTACTAGACCAGCGATTCCAAAACTTGAGCGTGCATCAAAATCACCTGGAAGGTTCATTAAAACATATCTTACCCCCAGATTCAGTAAGTCTGAGCCAAGACCCTAGGGTCCACAGTTCTAAAAATTCCTGGTTGATGCTGGACCATGCTTTAAAAACTGCTATTTACCTTTTTATCAGAAAGCAAACACATAAACCAGTGGAACTGTGGGTTCTTTAAAACTTAAATAGGGGTATTGTAAATGTATGCATTAAACATCAAAGGAAATATTTTTACCCATTAAATGAGAAATATTGTTCTGATTCTAGGCCATGACATGCTTCTGGCCGTGAAACAGCAGCAGCAGCGTTTTAGTGATTTGCGAGAGCTTTTTGCCCGGAGACTGGCCAGTCACCTCAACAATGTTTTTGTCCAACAGGTAATTTTACTATTAAAACCAGCATATAAACCTTATATATAAACCTTAAATTCCTGAAAAATCATTTAAAGTTTCTCATTGGGGTCACAATATATTCCTTCACACATTTATTTGATTTTAAGATTTTGAAGTATGTGCACATTTGCTCATACATGAATTTTGAGCCTCAGCTGCCACTTTGCTAGATGATCTAGTTCCTTTCAGCTTAAACTCAGTTTCCAAAAATCAAATAAATAACTATGCTTATTTATTGCATACACCATTTTGTTGTGCGCCTTAAGCCTATTCTGACTCATGGTGACCCTATAGGACAGAATAGAACTCCTCGTAGGGTTTCCTAGGCTGTGGCAGAATGCCCGGACTTTGTCCTGCAGAGATGCTAGGTGAATTCGAATCATCAACTTTTTGATTAGCAGCCAAGTGCCTACCCACTGTGCCACCAGGGCGCATTTAGCTATTTGTGTAAGTCCAGACTTGTTACAGGTTTACAGATGGACTTCTTTTAATTTTTAATATTGTGAGGTGAGAACCAGGACTTGATTCAGTGTTTTGAATGTTACATAGTTTCTGTGTACTTATATAGTGGACATGTAAAAGAAATGAGTATATCTCAACTATAAATTTCAGTTGATTTCATCTTTATTTGAACCCTTTATCTGTATTTTTATACAAAAAGCAATGTTAGTATTAAGTCATGGCAATAATAATAGTAAGAATATTAAAAATTAAACCTTAGAGGAGTTTAAGTAGATGGCATTTTAATATCTGGTGTAATAAATTAGGTTTATTATGTTTTTCACCTCTTTTTATTTTTCATTTTCGTTTATTAGGGTTATTGGGTGACACAATACTTAAAAATCTGGTGGGGAAAATCATCAAGAAATATTGTATGAAACATAGTATTCTTATTTTGTTTTCACTTTGCAGTACTCTGTAACAATTGTATTTACCATATTTTATTTCTGATTAGTTTACTCAGGCCCTTCTGCAACTCTATAACAGGCCCTCCTTTCTTTCGGTTCCTGTGAGTACATCAAAATTGGCTCAAGCTTTTTTTTTTTTCTTTATGAAATTTACTAAATTTAACAGCAGCCAAATCTTTATAGATTATAACTTAACTTGCTGATTTAAAACTACCTTTTAACCATATTTGTAGCAGTTTTTTAATGTCACAGAGCAAAGAGTTTATTTTGGCCAAAAAGGCATTTAATCTCATTCTGCTTGCCTTTCTTTCTATTACTCTTTTAATCTCTCATTTACTCCTTCATTTATTTAATAGACATTTTGCCAGGTGATAGAGATGTATACCAGACATTGACTTGGGATAAATAAAAGGCAGTCCTCATGATCTAGGGGAGAGAAACAAACAGATATGCTCAGAAAGGAAAATGTTACAATAGTGGTGCTGTGGGAGTGTAAACGAAGACTTCCTAATTAAGCATGTGGGGAGGGGGAGGTCAAGGAAGATTCCCTCAACATTTCACATGACCTGATAAGTATTAAGAGAAAGAGTAAGCTAAGAAGTCATGTAAAAATTACTAATTCACGTTTTTCTTACATTATTATTTCAATGGCAGTCATTTCTACACTATTTCTTAGTGTTTAAAAATTACACTATTGACAATGAAGTTACTCCTATTTGTAGATGGTATTGGAAATACTAGTTAGTAAACAGTAGTCCCTTCTGCACTCTTAATTATTTGTTGTAACATGCAATTATTTATGATTTTGCTTTTTTGCCTTGTAAACTAATGGCTTTGTTTAAAATGAATGCTTCCTATTTCTGAAAGTCTAATATGTATTGCTACATATGAGTGATGCATGTTAAAAACCAGAATGTTGCAACAACCTGGGATGTGCTGAAGACACTGGAGGAAGACGTGCCAAGTACAGGGAAGAGATTTGCTATGTGCTGAATTCACTTCTTCAGGTTATCTAGAAAAAAAAGTTAGGAAACCTGGTTATTTCTTTTCCTGGTTGTGGAACTAACTAGCTGGGAGAATTTGATTAACATGTTATGGTACATCACCACTTTTTCATTATATGCCTATTATGTACTTGTTCTGGTCCATATGGAAGAGCAGAAATAGTTCTTTCTTTCAGGATGCTTCTAAAAAGGAGTTAAGACTAATGTATTTAGAGGTCTATAATATGTATATAATAAATTGCTAGTTAGAGAACTATGGATTGTAAGTAGTAAAAATTAATCAAAAGTAAGATTACTAGTGGGGAGGGGATTCATTCACAAGACAGTAGTTACTTTTTATTTATGGTAAAGGAAAAGGTAGCACTGTATGTGGGAGAGGTGTGCACAGCTTAACTAAGGGAACTGATGCCACCAGGTTATACACACACGCACACACACACACACACACACAAAGATGTTTTGGTAAATACCGTATTATATATAAACAACATTATACCTCAGCATAAAGAAAACAAATTCTCACAACTGGACCAATAAGCAACATCACGATAAATGGAGAAAAGATTGAAGTTGTCTAGGATTTTATTTCACTTGGGTTCACAATCAACACCCATGGAAACAGCAGTCAAGAAATCAGATGTCATATTGCACTGGGCAAATCTGCTGCAAAAGACCTCTTTAAAGTGTTAAGAGTCAAAGATATCACTTTGAAGACTAAGGTGCACTTAATCCAAGCCAGGGTGTTTTCATTTGCCTCATATGCATGTGAAAACTGGACCATGAATAAGGAAGACCAAAGAAGAGTTGATGTTTTTGAATCAAAGTGTTGACAAAGAATACTGAAAATACCATGGACTGCCAGAAAAATGAACAGATCTCTCCTGGACGAAGTGCAGCTAGAAAGCTCCTTGGAAGCAAGAATAGTTGAATTAACTCCATTATGAAATTGAAGAAAAATTTGTATTAAAAAATATCATTCAGAAATCTCTTCCAGTAGTTTTTGGAAAGAATTGTTTTACATGTATAACTGTTCTCTACTTTTTTTGCTTTAGTTCTGTAGAGACCTTTGCCTTTGACCCCATGATGAGACTGATTATGCTAATAGTGTAGATAAATGAAAATGAACTAAAACATATGAAACTAAAAACTGAAATTGTGAAGGTTATTTGCTATATGCCTAAGTTTAAAAATTTTTCTTCTCTCAACATGTATTTACAAAAAATGTCATTATATAGTAAAATAAAACTACCACTATTCCATTCATTTCACAAAAACTTTTCCTTTGGCATGCATTACTTTTTTCTAACACAAGCTATTGGTCTGTGGTTAAAAGCTTAGAATTATGATTTCTTAAGATTAATTGTTGTGATATTTGTTGGAACCTTGCTCACATTCTTTTTCTTTAAGAAAACAAAAATAAGCATGTCATAACATAGAAGAGTCCCCAAATCTTAAAAATTTATTCAATATTTGACATGAATTTGTCATTTCTATTGGAAAATGAGTATAGCAAAGTGGATGAGAGTGCAGATGCTGGGACTAAACTGTTGGGTTGGAAATCTATCTGACACTGCCTAGTTGGGTGACCTTGGGTGAGCTAATTAACCTCTCTATGTACCTAGTTGCCTTATTTGAATAATGAGATGATAAAAATACCTACCTTGTAGGGTTGTTATGAGCATTAATTTATGTGTGTGTGTGTGTGTGTGTATAGCATAAACATAATAGTACTTAGAATAGTGCTTTGTCATAAATAAAGAATTCAATGTTAGTTAATTTTATTATAAATTGTAATATATCACTAATGAAAATTACCAATGAAGTAGATCTTGAGGTCTTTCAGGGAACCTTCCTTGTTAGTAGGTGCCATCAACTCAGCTCTGACTCATAGCAACCCTATGTGCAACAGACTGAAACTCTGCCCTGCATCATCCCAACAATCTTTGATATCCTTGAGTCCATCATTACAGCCACTGGATCAATCCCTCTCATTTAGGGTTTTACCCTTTTTCACTGAGTCTCCACTTTACCAAGTGTGAGTGATAAACTTCTCTAGGAAGTGGCCCATTCTGACAACAGAATGACCAAAGTAGGTGAGATGAAGTCTGGGCATTCTCACTTCCAAGGAGCATTCTGGCTGCACTTCTTCCAGGACAGATTTATTCATTCTTCTGGAAGTCCATGGTACTTTTAGTATTCTTCACCAACACCACAACTCAAGGCATCAACTCTTCTTCTGTCTTCCTTATTCATTGTCCAGCTTTCACATGCGTATGAGGCAGTTGAAAGTACCATGGCTTGGGTTAGGTGTCTCTTCATAGAGACATCTTTGCTCCTCAGGACTTGAAAGAGGTCTTTTACAGCAGATTTGCCCAGTGCAATACAACATATGATTTCTTGACTGCTATTTCCATTGATGTTGATTGTGGATCCAAGTAATACAAAATCTTTGACAACTTCAATCTTTTCTACATTTATCGTGATGCTGCCTATTGGTCCAGTTGTGTATGCCTAGTACCTAACTATGATTCTATGGAATCCCATCTATCTTTCTGATACATTTAAAAATATTTCTGTAATGCCAATATGATGACCTTTGTCAACTGTAAGTAGAATGTAGACAGACCAATTGTAACAGCAATGTATTTTATCTGCTGTTAATAATTTTGTTTGTATTGATTGTTAGCTTTTACTTCATGGAACAGATGCAGATTCCTAGGCATTCCAAATAGGCAGAATTGTTCCATTTTTCAACACGGTAACTCTTGGTCCTTAATGACTTGGTTGGAAGACATGATTGTTTTATATTCAGTTGGCAGGTTCACACTCCCTTTTACAAAATTCTTTGAAGCCAACTGGGTTTTTAGGATTGTTCAGATTTTAGAAAAGTAATATAGTGCATTTGTTCCTATTGTTGGGTGCCGTCGAGTCCATTCCAACTCATAGCAACACTATGGACTACATAGTGAAACACTGCCCGATCTTGTGTCAGTCTGTCTTATTGGGTCTTCTTCTTTTTCATTGACCTTCTATTTTAGTAAACATCATATCTTCCTCCAGTGACTAGTCCCTC